GCTTGCCGAAGGGAGAGCTGGTGGCCACGAACTAGCTTGCCGTACGGCGACCTGGTTTGGCCAAACCAGCTTGCCGTAGGGTGAGCTGGTGGCCACGAACCAGCTCGCCGTACGGCAAGCTGAACCGGATCAGTTCAGTTTGCCGTACGTCGAGCTTACCAGTCCGAGCCCTGCTCCCCGCAAGCCCGACACGAAGCATATGTCCTTTGACTCCAATCATGCTCTGAACCGTGATCGGAACGTCTCTGGTTTCATCTCGATCCGTCTTATCAATCAAGTTTTGCGATAAAAACCGTAAAGTCTTGTTTTCTCGAAAGAACTCATGTAAATCGTATAAAACGGCAACGGTTAGACAAAACATCAGATATTGCTAAGCTATACGATTAACTCGAATGTTTTATAAAACAGCGTTGTATTAAGGAACGATCTCGTTCAAAATCGCAAAACGGTTTTTTTTTTTTTGACCAAACCTTAAATATTACTTAAGAACTTCAAAGTGCTTACATCAACCTGCCACTACCGGCCAGGGAGAAAGATAAGCAAGACCTTGTTTAGCCAAGGAATCAGCCTCCCTATTACAAAGCCTTGGAACATGAATAAAAGATACATACGCAAAAGACTTACATAACACCAGAATGTCATGAACAACTCCTTGGAGATCATTGTACCAGTCATTGACAATGAGTAAGTCAATGAGAGATTTGGAATCCGATTTCACAATCAATTTTCCAAATCCTAAGAGAACTTCTTCAGAAATAGCAGTTTTAACCGCAAGAGCCTCTGCCATGATAGCAGAAGCCACATCACGTCGGTTAGCAAAGTGATTCCGGGTAGCACAGCCCCCTTCATCGATAAATCTCCACCCAAAACCCGCTTCCCTAGATCCTGCACGCCAAGCTGCATCCACAAAACATGTAATACCATTGTGCTCCACATCAGGGGGTATACAAAAAGTTGGTTTGGGTTTTTGAGTAAAGGTGGAAGAAACTTGAGCTGATTGCCACGCCCGTGCCTCCACAAGGGCTTTTGAAACTACCTCCCACTCCGAGAATAACCTGTCATCAAAAATCAATTTGTTTCTTGAAGTCCACAGGCTCCAAGAAATCCAAGGGAGTAGATGAGTGTTGTTTAGGCCTGTCGGAGGTAAGTTAACAAGAAGGAGCGAGGACTGGAGGAATTGGGGTATCGTGGACACCCTCGTGGTGGACGGAGGGTTAGAAGCTGGAACCAAGTCCCACACGCGAGACGCAAAGGGGCAGTGAAGGAGCACGTGCAGCTCCGTTTCAATTGCTCTGCATCTCTTACATGAGCCATCCACTTCTATTCCTCGGGCCAAAAGATTAGCTCCAACCGGTAAAGCTCTATTTCCAACTTTCCAGAGAAAATTCTTCAATTTCGGTGATGTTTTAGTATTCCAAATACATTGGTTCCATTGTAGGCCTAGGTTCACCACCGGTTCAACATTGAGTTTAGAGAGAGCATACCCAGATTTTGTTGAATAAACTCCATTCTTTGCTGGTAGCCAAACTAGAGTATCTTCCATACCCAAAGCGCTAGGCACCAATAAGCAGATAGAGTCCTCATACTGTGGTAGGTTGTTCCTTATGATCGGGATATTCCATTCCCCTGAAGCAGGTCAGATCAGGTCAGAGACTGTCATGTTAATGTTCTGCGCTGAAGGAGGGCCTATAGGGGTTAATGGAGTTGTTGTAGAGAGCCAGGGGTCCCGCCAAATGTTAATCTGATCCCCATTACCAACTATCCAGCCAAGACCTTTCCTTAGTACCTCTCTTCCGGCTATTATACTTCTCCAGCCATGAGAGGCATTCCTAGGCGGAGTAGCATCTATAAGCGACGAAGAAGATTGACCATACTTACTCATGAGAGTTTGAGCGATGAGGGAGGTCGGATTTTTAATGATGCGCCAAGCCATCTTTGCCAAGAGAGCATCGTTGAATTGCTCCATCTCTCGAAAACCCAAACCCCCCACATTTTTAGGTAAGGTGAGCTTACTCCAAGAAACCCAAGACATCTTCCTAATAGTCGGTTTCACATCCCACCAGAACCGGGTAAACACTGCTTGGATTTGCTTACATAAGGACTTTGGAAGCTTAAAACAGGTCATTGCATAAGATGGCATTGATGCTAACACTGCTTTTAGCAAGACTTGTTTACCAGCACCGGAGAGGTGCTTTGCCGTCCAGCTATGAGATCGTTGCCGTATCCTGTCAACTATACCAGCAAAAATATCTCTTTTCTTCCGGCCAAAATGCTCCGGCAGCCCCAAATATTTACCCACACCTCCTTCATTATCAATATGTAGAGAAGCTTCAACCCGTTGTCGGACTTCAATGGGAGTCTTACTTGAGAAGGTAATAGCTGACTTCAACACATTTATCTTCTGCCCTGACACTTCCTCGCAAAACGGTTAAGTCGCAAAAACAGGCTCGGAAAAACCTAAAACGCGATAAAAGCCCACTCGCGACTTTAAACGAAATCCAGCCCAAAGATACGACGATGATTTGTCTATTTACTCGCAGAAAGAAAATAAATGTCAAGTTTGAAGATAAATAGAAGATTTCCGAAGAAAAATGGAAAGATCGAGATAAATGGAAGATTTCCGATAGACTCGAATCTGTGTGAAAAGGAATGACTAAACCGCCTAAGGAGGGAGTATATAAGCAGAAGGCCAAGGACAGAAGAAACACACCATTTTCAGAGCTCTCACCACCAAAACTTAGTATTTAGGCAACTTTCCGTTTTTGTTATCGAGCTGCGTCTCAACTAGGGTTTTACTCTTAGATTGCTAGAACTAGGAATCTCGTTGTCAGCTCACGCAGCTAAGGCTTACTCTTGTTCTACCGTTCTTACGCGAATTCGGAATAAGACTCTTTCTTGCTCTCAATATCGTTTTTACATCTTTGCTTTATTCTCATCGTATTCTTGATTGCTTGTGTGCGGTTCCGCAGATAGCCGGGTCCTCTGAGAAATTAGGGTTTTCCCTAAGTTTTTAAATTTACGTAAAATGGACAGGGGTGAATTTCGGTTCCCACACTGGCTGAAAATAGTGAGGTCTATACAAGTCTTGATGAAGATTGAAGAATAGTGAAAAATGAACAAGTCTTGGTGATGACCAGTGAAGCTTAGAGGAGATGAAAAGCTCTATCGATTAAATTGAAAGAAAGAACTGAGGTGTTTAAAGAATTGTCAGTGATTGTCAAAAGGTGGAGTTTTTAGTATTATTACTAGTATGGGTGAAGCAGCTGTCCTAAGATATAAAATAAGAAAATGTATAAGGGTTATGAGAAATTGAGAGAATGAGTAAATTTCACCCTGTTTCTTTTTTTTTTCTATTTGCAGAGAGATTGAAACCATATAAAGCATGTGTAAACTATTTCTTAAAGTAAAGTTTGAGAGCTGGAGATCTTCTTTGAGAAGTATCAGTTCAAAACAGTGAACTGTGTTAACAGATTTTGATTAGTTCTCTACATTAATTTCTTTATTGATGAAGGAAAATTCTAGAAACAGATTACTGATTCTCTTCTTGTATTAAAGTAATTTGTCTTTACTTTTCCGGTGGAGATCCTCAGCTTGATGTAGTGAATTTCTCTTTCATTGGAGAATCAAAAAATTTAAGTCATTGTAGGTTTTACATAGGAATATGATACAGGGAAGGATGGAGAAATGAAGAAGCTGTTGAAAGTTTGAATAAAGAGCCGAAACGTTGTCGTTTTACAATAAGAAGCTCTGAATTATTTCAAGCAACGAACAAAATATCTCAATTAAATAGCTGTTTTATTTATTTTATTTTGAGATTTCGAAAAGTCCTTGTTGCTTTCTCTCTTTCTAAACTCTGAGTGACGATTTGAGGTGTGAAAATAGTTTGTGATTTTTCATACTGAGTAAGAATCTGTGTTTTTTGAAAGTTGGATTATGTATTGGATATTGATTTGGTGATTAATCAAAATATATGTTTTCCGTTATTAGAGTAAATGGACTTGGAGTCAACAAAGATAGGATGCCATTCTGGAGAATAGTTTCTATCTGGTCATGCCACCGATCTGAATATATTTTCCGTTGAGTTTCGCAGAAGCGGTTAGCTGAATCCGACAATTACCCTCCAATGATAAAAAACATGGTGTTCTATTGAAACATTAGGGAATAATGAAAATTGAATCTTTCTCTTATACTATATCGATCGATACTCCTATAGAGTAATTAATCGACGGCTGCTTTTATCATCCGACATGGGGATCATACTATCGGTTGATATTGCTGACAATAAGATCAATGGATGTGTCTATTTAGTTATAGCTATTAGATCTATCTAAGAATTAAAGTTCCATATATCTTGCAAGCAATTCGTTAAAACATCTATAGCATTATAATCTTGATTATCTGAATAGCAACCTTGAATCTAACTACTTTATTTTATTGTTTTTAAACCTAAATCTATTCTCTTAAGCTACTTATCATTGCTTACAAAACTGCAATTTACTATTCTAAACCTAATCAACCTAGCATAATCATTTAGGATTACATCTATTGTGTTCCTTAGTTCCCTGCGGATTCGATCCCTAAGTACTACAACTGAACCTCTTATTTGAGAGAGTAATTCACTTTTAGGGTTAAACATTTGGGTGATATCAATACACGAGCGAGCGTGAAATGTGCCATTGATCAAATCTTTGAAGCTCAAGAGAAGGGATATATTAATGCGGATAACGTTCTTTACATCGTCGAGAACATCAACGTAGCTGGTTAACTTCTTTAATATTATGTACCAATTTGATAGGTTCCAGGAATCTATGGTTCAGCTATATTATACTATTTGAGATCCCGTTTTCTTGATCGAGCCCATCGGTGGTCATCATCGTCTTTCTCTGTACATAGATTATTCTTCTAGCCTTGTATGGTATATTAATTTCATTGTCACTTGTCTCTTCTGAAAAAGACTGAATCTTAATGGATATTTATTCAGGAAGCTTTTCAGTTTTCTGATGCTGATTTCTTGTGTAATATGTGCTGAAAAAGCTATTAAGATAATACTATGGTCTATAGCAAGGGGAATTGCAGAGCTAGTGAACCATCCTGAGATTCAGAGCAAGCTAAGGAAGAAATCGACACGGTTCTTGGACCATGCGTTCAAGTCACAGAGCCTGACCTTCACAATCTTCCATACCTCCAAGCTGTGCTCAAGGAGACACTTCGTCTAAGAATGGGTGTTTCTCTCCTCGTACCACACATGAACCTCAAGGAAGCTAAGCTTGCTGGCTACGACATCCCAGCAGAAAGCAAAATATTAGTCAATGCATGGTGGCTAACAAACAACCCTAGCAACTGGAAGAAACCTGAAGAGTTTAGGCCCGGGAGGTTCTTTGAAGAATAGGCGCATGTGGAACCGAACTGTGACGACTTCAGGTACTTGCCGTTTGGCGTTGGACGTAGAAGCTGTCCTGGGATTGTATTGGCTTTGCCAAAATTGGGAATCACCATTGGTAGGCTTGTTCAGAACTTCGAGCTTCTTCCTCCTCCGGGACAGTCTAAAGTGGGTACCTCTGAGATAGGTGGAAAGTTTAACTTGAAGATACTTAACCACTCCACAATTATTATGAAACCAAGGGCCATCTGATAAAAGAAAAGATAAAGTAATATCTGAAAAATCACCTTTTGTTATGAATGACATTATACTGATGTTTGTAAAATCTATTGAATAAACCATGTTGTGTAAAAAAAATTAAAGGGTTCGTTCTTTCAAGAATAAATGGTACCCATTGTTTTGAATGAAATATTTTATCCTAGAATTATAGGTAAAATGTAATTTGTTTCCAAATAATTATGTTTGTCTGTTATTAGGACTACAACAGGATAAAACTTCAGTGTGACATAGAATCAGGAGGACGAAAGGCAAGTAAAGACACTTCGTACTCGAAATGTTGTCTACGGTTCTGGAACTTCTCACCTAGAGTTCTTGACATTCAACATTCGAACTTCTAATAGGTGTATCAACGTCGTTTTCGACTATCAATTGTTCGTGAGAACAATCGCCATGGGAACAAAAGTGGAGCTTCCTTATCGGTTTCTTCATTTCGCTGAGCTTGACTCGCCCCGAGATGGTCTTATCTTTACTCTTTTCGTAATGCTTTCTAGATTTGTTCTACTGTCGAGCCTGGCTCCAGGATCTTCTGCTTCAATTGTAAACTTTAATGCTCATTGAGCCTTTTATATTATAAGTTGTGTTACAAAAAAAAAAAAAAAGACACGTTCCAACAAATGATAGTAGTGCTGGAAAGACGCACGCTTCAACTCGTTTGTTTATACAAGGCATTGCTCCTTCGCTGTTTACAAACCTAGGTAAGAAAATTTCATCCCCATATCTTCTGTCATTTATTTCAAGTTATCTCTAGATCTGAAATATAAAAGAAAAAATTACTAGAATGATACACAAAAACTTGTATATGACTAGAATAGTATACATTTTCTAAAAATTACTAGAAGGTTTTTAGACTCCTAGTAAATTACAACAAACACCCTAGCTTAATTTTGTTACTATTGATACAAATTTTAATTATTAAATCCACATCATAATTTTGACAATTCACGTCACTAACTAATTTGTGTCATCAACAGTTACACTGGAAAATCAACAGTCTCATATCCCCGGTGAACAAAAAAAAAAGTCTTAATGTCACATTCTTCTCCGTCACAACTTTCGTTAAACCCTAACCGATTACGAAATCACGAAATCCCAAAATCATCTTCGTCACAACTAATACTCTCGTTTCAAACAGTGTTTCCGATATCGTAAATCATCTTCGTCGACCTCGTTAAACCCTAACCGTCTCCGATATCATCTTCGTCAACATCCTTTTCTCCGCAAAAGTTTCGACGTAATCGTATCTACGACATCATCTTCTCATCTTCTCTGGTATGTTGTGCCTGAGTTTGATTTACGACGTGTCTGAGTTATAGATTATGTTGTTACTGAGTTATTGTATAGTGTGGCTGAGTTGAGTTTGATTTATGAAGTGGCTGAGTTATTGATTATGATCCGACTGAGTTATTGATT